GACATTAAGAGGAAGTGTGACCTCAGCGCCGCCGTTTCTGCTGAATAAAAACGCCACTTCTCCAAAGAGGGCAGAATAATGCGCTCGGGAGGAACTGAATGACGGAGCGCCTTTCGCTGCAAAAAAATGACTCATGTCACCCAGAAAAAATTACCCGCGAGAGAGAGACCGACCAGTACGACGGCATTGGCCCGGGACTTCCTCTTCTGCGTATTGTGCTGCGAAACCAGTCTGCTGCAGGCAGCATTTCCTTAGTCTCCCCTCCCCCAGTGATCAGTCTGCTGCTGGCAGGAGGAAGCATTTCCTTAGTCTCCCCTCCCCCAGTGATCAGTCTGCTGCATGCAGGGGGAAGCATTTCCTCAGTCTCCCCTCCCCCAGTGATCAGTCTGCTACATTGTAACTTTGCATAAATAGAGAGACTGCAGAACACATTTACAAACACAGCCAAGAACTGCAGAGGCATCGGGATTTACATGAGTCGGCATCTCAGTGCAGGAAGTAGACGGTGACCCCGGGTGATGACCGAAACAAAGATGGCGCCGTCCTTACAGAGAGAAAAGCAGATGAAGGCATTGTCAGGGGGAGTCATGTGATCCCCATAAGAGGTAATGCATGTGTGTGGAAGGCATTATGTAGCATGCACGTGTCTGAAGCTAAGTCCACTTTAATGACATGCGTCCGCCTGGTAACGCAGATGAATGAATCATGTGGAAAGCACGCATGCTCGAGACGCTTAGCTGTGGTTCCAACAAACATCAGAACGGGGGGGGGATGTGTGATCTGAGCAGTGATGACTGTGGGATGAGTGTCGGTGATGGAATTGCCGGTGGCAGCATCTTAGAAAGTGCTGACTTCCTGCGACTCTCGCGCACTGTAACCTAGTTTGTTGGACTGGATGTCGGTGACTTGCATCCTGAGCTGCCCACACGGCCCGTCTCTGAACGCACAAACCTCGAGGAGGACGGACTACAGCAACCACCACCGTCACAATCATTCATGTCTGTCTGCTATCCCAAATGTGTGTCTGTACCACTGATCGGCACAATGTGACCGGAGACCCAGTGGCGTCACAAAAGGGGTGCGGCCCCGCACCCGGGTGACACCAAAACGACTGACAGTCATTTTGTGTGTCACCCCCCATTTGAAAAGTCGGGCGCTCGGTCATGGACCGTACGCCCGACAGTATCAGGAGAGAGGAGGGGACCCGGCGGCATACCTTATCCCGCCAGGTGACTGTCCCTTCCTCTCCTCCAGGTATCAGAAGACTGCCATGCGTGAGGCACGAGCATGCGCGGTGACATTTCGGCGGGGTGACACTCGGGTACTGCTCCGGGTGTCACCCAGCCTCGGGACGCCCCTGCTGAGACCTTCCGGAGACTGAAATTGATGAGCATGCCGACCACACAGGAGGAGAACTTTCCGTGTCAGAAGACCAAAACCCGGGAGATACTTTTCCTCCAGAACTGTGCTATATTTTTGATACTAGATCAGGGTCAGGCAAACCTCGGCTCTCCAGCTGCGCTGAAACTACAAATCCCATCCTGCTTCTGCCTCTGGGAGTCGTGCCTACGGCTTGCAATGCCTCATGGGATTTGTAGTTTCAGCACAGCTGGAGAGCTGAGGTTGCCTACCCCTGTCCTAGGTGAAAGGATCCTTCCCATTCCATTCCAAATGTGGAACCAAATGACTCTTGATGTGAATGTCGGGGCAAACATAAAAAATACACTGGGGGGGGGGGGGGGGCATTTTCGTACGTGACGGG